AGGAAGAAAAACATGTGAGAATATGTGTACACGCGTACACACACACACACACACACACACACACACACACACACACACACACACAGAAGCAGAGATGAGGGCTCTGATCACAATGGGGTGCAGGTCCATATCAGGGAAAGGAAGGGAAGACAATGCTCCAATAACACCCAAACCCCATTATTGCCAAGGTCCTCCTGGGTACCTGGCTTAACACCAGGGTTTGTGCCTATTTGATCACTTTTAAGCCTCACAATAATCCTAGAAGATATATATATATATATATATATATATATATCAGTGTCCACATTTTTCAGATAAGGAAAACAAGCCCAGAGAGGCAAAGTGACTTGGTCAGAGTCATACAGCTAGTGAGCCTTAGAGCAAATGCCACCAGGGCTGTCACGTTCCAGAGCTTGGTTGGACATCGCCACACTAATAGGGGTAAGATTTAGAAGTGCCTTGTTTTAGCCCCCCTGCCCCTTATCCTGGGTAATCAGCAGGGATCTGTAGCCTGTGCCTCAGTTCAGGGTCCCATTCCCATGCTGGTATCAGCAGGGTCCAAGTGTACACATAACGTGTCATCACTCTGGTCCTGCAAACCCTCCCCTTCCTTCCTCACTCCTGACTCACCTGCACCCCAAGCCTCCCTCTTCTCTGAGTGTGGAGGGGTGTGGGGAGAACTGCCTGGGCCTATAGGGCAGGTTTCTGCCAGACAGGGTAAGGGGGAGGGCGTTCCTCCCAGGTGGGGGTGGGCAGAGCACTGGCAGGGTGTGGGCACCCCAGGGCACTCAGGCTTCCAGGTACAGGGTAACTAGGCCCTCCCGTCTTTAGGGTGAGAGAGCAGAACAAACCCCTCCCCTCCGCCCCACCACACCCTCATCCCTCCTGGGCTAGTAGGCTGAAGACAGCTGGGTCATGATAAGATCAGAACAAATTGCCCGGTAACTGCAGAGACATACAAACACCTGGTGCCTGACCGCACACCCGCACTCTGTCCACACAGGGCCTGTGAGCTACTGAGGCCACTTAGATTTTCTCTGTCCCCTTACAGCCATCAGACTTCAGTCATCCACAGAGGAGGTTTTCCTTCCACTCAGACATCCACCATGAATAGGCTCAGAGAGGTGAAGCAAACTTGCTCAAATTACTCAGCCAGAGGCAACAAAGACTAGCAATCCCGGACCCTTGGCTTGCAATCTGGCCATCTCCATAGCAACAGAGCTTTTAGGGAAGTGAGTTCTGGAGTCAGTCAGCTGAAGCAAGTATCCCACAGTTTTACCACGGTGTGACTTTGGGTAGGTGATTTAACTTCTCTGATCCTCCATTTCCAGATCTGAATCACTTGGAATACCTGCCTTATAAGGCTGCCAAGAGGATTACTCCAGATAATCCAGAGAAAGCACCAGACTAATAGCATATAAAGGTTTATTGTTACAGTCTCCAGGTGCAGAGATGACGCGGAACCTATACGTGGCATCCGAGGGCAAATACAATGCAAAGACAACTCAGGAATCTGTCAGACTCAGGACAAAGGGACATGACGTTCAGAGAAACACTGGCTCAGATGTGAGAATCAAAGTCCACAGCAGCAGGAGGAACTACCACTGGGGAGAAAATCTTGGCAGGCAGCCTGACTGACAGGAAATTGTCAGAGGTATTTTAAGGTCTTGAAAAAGCACAAGGACAGCCAGATATAGTGGAGCACACGGGGTAATCCCAGCACTTGGGAGGCTGACTCAGGAGGATTGCCACAGTTTGAGGCCGTCTGTTTTACATACCAAATTCCAGGCCAGCCAAGGCTACATGGTGATACCTTGTCTTTTAAAAAAAATGCATAAGGATAACCCACAGTTTACACAGTTCACAGATCCCAATTTGTGGCACATTGGCACATGTTTTTTTGTGTGTGCTCTGAGATATCCACACATGCTGATTTGGACACTTATTACATTGTAAAACACACAGTCACAAATGCATACGCCCAGGCCAGGGACCCCACACCCCCAACCCAGCCCTCCTCCAACTCCCCTCACCTATCCGGGAGTCTGGCCTCCTCAGAGATCTCCTTTCCCTTGCGCTCCCTTCGGACCCTTAGTCCAGTCAAGAGCCGGCCCAGGCGAGACCCCAAGCCCTTGCGTGGCTCGGTCATGGCACTTGTGGCGGGGGCCACAGGATCGGCTGTCCAGGCGGAGAAGCGCCTCCCCCGACCCGCCCCCCTGAGCAAACAGCTGCCTCGCCCGCACGGGCCGCGGGAGGGGACCTGATCCAGATGCTGCACATCCCCTGGGGCGCTAGGCGCACTCTCAGGAGACTGTGCCCACCCTAGACCGCAGTCCGTGGGCGCTCCCCACGAGCCCCATCCCCTCCCTACCCGAGTCCCTGCTCTCTACTCGGTCCGTCCGGCAACTTCAGTTCTCAGGAGGTAGGTGTCGGGGGCTGATTGGTGCACGCATTGGGAGCTGCATTTGTGCAAAGACCTAGGAAAGGGGCCTGGGGCGAGCAGGGGCTGGGCGGCAGGGCTGAGCCTAGGGGCTGTCTAAGGAGTAGTAAGAGCTTGGGGGCGGAGCCTGGACAGAGAGTGGGCGGGGCCTAGCCCGAGGGGTTGGAATCCCAAGCACACAAAGGTGTGACAAGGGTGAGCTGGAACCCTCGCAGATGTCACTCCACACCAGGTGACGAACCACAATGAAATCCACAGGGGCGGGACTGGCGCCCCCTGCTGGAAATGGGTCAGAGAACACATAGTCTGAAGATGAGTCATTTTTAATTTTATGTGTATGGGTGTTTGGCCTCCATATATGTATGTACAACACGTAGGTGCCTGATGTCCTCGGAGGCCAGAAGAGAGCGTCGGATCCCCTGGAACTGGAGTTACAGATAGTTGTAAGCTGTCGTGTGGGTGCTGGGAACTGAGCCCTGGTCCTCTGCAAAAGCAGCTAGTGCTTTTAACAGCTGAGCCACCTTTCCAGCCCCATATGAGCCTTCGCACCTAATACTGCCCAGTTCACGAGTTGAGGTAGGGAACACATTGCACTTTTTTTTAAAATTTACTTTCATTTTATGTGTATGAGTGCTTTGCCTACATGTATGAAAGTCCACTTGTGTGTGTAATGATCGCAGAGGCCAGAAGAGGACATCAGAAATGTGGGTACTGAAAACCGAACCCGGGTCCTCTGCAAAGAGCAACCAGTGCTCTTTAGTCGCTGAGCCATTTTCCCAGCCCCAACCTTGCACTTTTAAGGGGATCCTTAATAAGGCAGAGAGGCAGGCCATCGGTAGGTTTCCAGATCTGCCCCCCCCCCCTTTTTTTGTCTTTTTGAGATAGGGTCTCCCTGTAGCCACAGCTGACCTAGAACTTGCTATGGAAATCAGGCTAACCTCAGTCTTACAGAGCTATGCCTGCCAGTGTCTCCCAAGTGCTGGGATTAAAGGCATGGACACCTGGCCCCACTCTCCTTTAGAGCCAGTTCTTTCCTGCCTGTAGCCCAAATTGGTTCTGCACCCCCCCCCAAATCCACACCCCTTTATCCTTTTACCTTTGTGGTAACTGGTCCTGGCACACAGAAGACACCATGATTCTCAGTCAAGAGAAGACAGAGGTACCTTATGTTTCTTTTCTTACCCCCACCCAAGGAGGATTACACCTGACCATGCCAGGGAATACCAGTTGCCACTGTGATGGCTGAGTAGGAATGGAAGGGTCAGAATGTGGTGGAAGGAGACCAGGGACAATTGGACTGGTGTTGGAAAAAGGTGTTCAGAAAGGAGGGCAAAGTGTCCTGTGCTGCAACAGCACAGTCTGCACGTGGCAGACTCCTGAAAGGCTGCACTGTCTATTGGTGAGTTGAGACAGAGGGCTCAGTCCCAGATAGGTCACAACAGCATGAAACCCAGCCTAAGGTAGATGGTTGGTCACTCCCACCTCACACAGGCTGTGTTCCTGACCTGCTCCCAGGCGAGATGTGGGGCTGACTGGTACACAGTAACATTCTCTTCCACCAACTCAGCACTGAGAAAAAAATCATTTATTTATTTATTTATTTTAAAATGGGGTCTCCTTGTAGCCCCAGCTAGCCTGAAACTCACTATGTAGATCAGGCTGGCCTAGATCTCACAGAGATCTGCCTGCTTCTGCCTTCTGAGTACTAGGATTAAAGGCAGTCACAACACCACCGCTCAGGCTGGCTGGTTCTTGCTTTCCCTGAGATATCAAAGACACCTTGACCTCGTCCACATTCCAGCATAACTGCTTCTCTGATGGTGCTTCCATAAGATCCTTGGTGCCACTGGGCAAGGCAGGTGAGAAAAGCTAGGGGCAGGTGGGTGTGGGCCAGGCCACAAGGCTGAGGGGCATGCAGTTGCTGGTTGGGCAGACACTGCACTGGAAGGGCCCGGTGCCTGAGTGCAGGCGTAGATGGGTCTTGAGGTTGCTGGAGCTGCTGAAGCGCTTGGGGCACATCTGATGGAACAGGCACTAGCATCAGTTCTGCCCTCCTGCTGCCTCAGGGTCTCTCTCTCTCTCTCTCTCTCTCTCTCTCCTGCACCCATCTTGGAAACACCTCCTCTAAACCCCCTCACTGTCAATGCAGGCCCAGAAGCTGTCCCTGGTGGTTTCTCACACAGAATGACGTTTAGAACCAGGCTGACTTGAATTAACATTTTGCTTTTACTCCCGTATGTCCTTGTGTGAGTGACTTCCCTGAGCCTTCCTTCTTCTATCAGTATCACAAGGATTGATTCCTGACCTCATAGTTAGGGACGACCAAATGAGGTAATCATCACATAGAACCTTGATGTTGGGGCTGCAGCGTCAATGGGTGTAGCCAACATATATGTGCTGGGAGCTGAATGAGCCAGGAACTGGCTTCATGTAGTCTTCCTCAGAAGCACGCCCGAATATCAATACTGCTATGTTATGGCAAGAAAGCAAAGGCTGGATCTGGAGAGATGACTCAATGGTTAAGACACTGACTGCTCTTGCAGAGGACCCAGGTTTGATTCCCAGCACCCACATGGCAGCTAGCAACCATCTGTAACTCCAGTTCCAGGGGATCTGACACTACCTTCTGACCTCCACAGGCTTTGCATGATATGGGTGCACTTACCTACATGCAGGCAATACATATAAAATAAAAAACAAAATATTTTGCTGGGCATCGTGGCCACGCCTGTAGTCCCAGTACTTGGGAGGCAGAAGCAGGTGGATCTCTGTGAGTTCAAGGCCAGCCTGGTCTACATAGTGGGTTCCAGGTCAGCTGGGGATACAGGGAGACCCTGTCTCAAAAAGACCCAAAAAAATTTTTTTTAATAAATAAAATGTTTTTAAAAAGAAAGAAAGCACAGGCTCAGAGGAATGAAGCCGCAAGTCAAAGATCACACCATGAGTTGGGAGGAAGAGCTAGGATTTGAACACAAGGAGTCTGACTCTGTAGCCTGGATTCAGAACAACACTGCTCTCTCGCTTTTGCCCCTGTAAAAGGAGAGGCTCCCTGCCCTCTGCCTCCTGAAGGATGAGGTCAGGCTCAAGGAAGGAGCTACGCTGAGCTAATGGTTTTCCTACTTGGGTTCCTTGCACACACTATGGCCTTAGCTCCAGGACAACCCCTGGAGGTAGGAAAGAGGATGCCTTTTCCAGGATCCTTAACTTCATTATTCTCCATGCATAGACAGACAGCTGAATTTTCTCCTTCTACAGAACTCACTCCATCCTTGTATCCCCTGAATTCTCCTCTCCATCTATACTTGCTCAGGAGGACTGAGGAATGGAGACCCAGGTACCACCCCTCCAGGAGCCTAGGAGTTCTTGCTAAGCTGCAAGTATACATGTGATAGGGAGAAGGGTCTTACCTGACATTGGTGGGGCCGCTCCCCAGTGTGTACCAAGTGGTGCTTCTGCAGGTGGGCCAGCTGGGTAAAGCTCTTCTGACACAGCGTACACTGGAATGGACGCTCTCCGCTGTGCACACGTAGGTGGACCTGAACCAGGTATGGAAAGAATGCTGCCAGCTGCCCAGAGCCCCCAGCCCAGTCTCCATCCACACCCCTGCAGGATCCCTCTATCATCTCCCTCAGAGACTGCCAACACCCAGGATACTCCCACCTCCTACAAGAGAGAAGGCAGAGTTTAAGAGGTCAGGTAAAGGGTACTCCAGATATTTCCTGGAGCAGCAACACTTAAAGTGTGATTCACAGACCAGCAGTGACAGTATCACGGAGGGAGCACTCTAGAAATGCAGATTCTAGGGCCCCACCCTAGACCTGCTGAGTCATTATCTCTGGGGCTGGGAACTGGGAATCTGCAGGTTTCTTAGCTCTCCAGGTGGTTTGACAATTGTTAAAAGTTTAAGAATCCTTCCTGCTGGAGGATTCAGCAGGGCTGTTTCCCTAATAGCAGTAACCTTTAAAAAATCTAGCTTGGGGTCTTTGCTAACACAGAGTGACAGGCCCATGGACGGCCCCTGCTGGACGATGTAGTTGATGACCCTTCAGAACCTGGCCTGATTTGTGGGATCCAACTTGAGAAAGGTTGGTTGTCAGACTGTGGTCTGCCTGATTCCCTCATCTGATCTTCAAAGACAATAAAGAGACTCAACTAGGAACCCAGAAAGGATGGTTGCCTGGAAAAGAGCTTTATAGTCAATCGAAGCTTAAACTTGATGATAAATCATGGTGGAAAAATCCTATCTATTCTAGCTTCTGTTTCTCGATTTTTAATTTAAATAAGGTGATCTCATAGACCATCTTCCAGGTTGGAGGAGATTTTGGCAGCCATTTATTTTTGATAGAGTCTCACTGTATTGCTCAAGCTGGCCTTGGGCTGGCTTATGCCACTGTCCGGCTTCAGCCTCCTGAATGTTGGAACTAGCACCAAGCTCAGCTAGTAGCCATCTTATCTAGTATCTCCATTGAGATGAATCTAAGGGCCATTTGGTCCTAAGGAGGTGCTCCAGAGTGGCTTTCAGATATCAGAACTTGATTCTGGAAGCAGGGCAAAATGTCACCAAAAGATCACTAAAAGACTAAGAGAGAGCAGGACCTGGGAGGTCAATACCTTGAGGTTGGAGAGCTGCCCAAAACTCTTGCTGCACACGTTGCACTCATATAGGATTTTACCATTCTCTTTCTTCAGAGGGTAGGGCAGGGCTGTGATACCTGCCCGGGGGCCTGACACAGCTTGCTTTGCTGGAGCTGCCACACCAGCTTGTCCTGGGGAGGAGGTTGAGGTGGCTGTAGAGCATGGACTCCAGGTCTGGGAATGCAAAGTGTGACCAGAATCTTGGAAAACCCTTGGGTAGAAAAGCAGGGTCTCCTGGACACTATGGGGCCCAGCCTCATTGGCTGTCATCAGCAAGCTGGAGGCAGCCATGTTCTGGTAAGAGGTGGCTTGGGGCAGCATGAAGAGGTGGGGACATTGGACAGAAGATAGGGCCCCATAGGTAAGTAGGTAAGGTGGAGGCAGAAGTTGATACCCAGGGTAGACAGAGTAGAGGTGGAAAGGGAGCCCTTTGGAGATGGGAGCTGGAGGACAAGGGCAGAAGGCCGAGGGACTAGGGCTCTTTCTATTCGGCCTGGGGCCTGAGGAGAAGCTGGTTTGAGGAGGGAGGGATGGACAGGGGCCTCTTTCTGGATGGCTTCCCATCTTTTCCCTGTTCGCTGAGTCCTTGGTTGTGAGTTTCTCATTGTCCATGGAGTCATCACAATGGCCTGGTGGCTGATGGTCTGAACCAGAAATGGAAAACAGTTAAGCCCCTCACAGCCTGGAATGAAGGTCTATCACCCATCAAGCCTGCCAAGATCAGAGTTGGGTAAGAACTCCAGCTGAAACTTGGGCAACTTGGGACTCAGTTTCCCCACTGCTACTGTGCCCACACTAAAAGCTGCTGGCATGTCTATAGCACTTGACAACTTCAGGGAGAGAAAATGATTCCAGCAGCTTACTAGACCTCCAGTGGAGAGATCAAGTGGGCAGATGGATGAATTGGGATGGAGTTTAAGAGAGAAATCCCAGATTAAGATATAAAATTGGCTGGGCTGGAGAGATGGCACAGCTGTGAAAGGCTAAGGCTAAGATATAAAACTGGATGTCCTGGGTCAAGAGGAGATCGCATAAGGGTGTTACTAGATCTTCTGGGTCCCAAGTGGCAGCTACTGAAAACATATGACAATTTACATTAAGTTTAATAAAATACACAGTTCTTGTTAGGCATGGTGGGGCATGCCTATAATCACAGAACTTGGGAGGGGGAGGTTGGAGGATCAGGAAAAAGTTCAAGGCCATTCTCAGTTTCATATCTAGTTCAAGGCCAGCCAGGGCTAGGTGAGAACTTGTTTTAAAACAAAGAAACAGGGCTGGAGAGATGGCTCAGTGGTTAAGAATTCTTCCAAAGGATCTGGGCTCAATTCCCTGCATCCACATGGCAGCTAACAACCGCCAGTAACTCCAGTTCTAGGGGATCTGATACTCTTTTCTGGCCTCTGCAGGTATTGCATGCTCATGATTCACTTACATACATGCAGGCAAAATACTCATATACATAAAATAAAAATAATAGCCGGGCGTGGTGGCACATGCCTTTAATCCCAGCACTCCGAAGGCAGAGGCAGGAAGATCTCTGTGAGTTCAAGGCCAGCCTGGTCTACATAGTGAGTTCCAGGACAGCTGGGGCTACAGGGAGACCCTGTCTCAAAAAAGACCAAAAATAATAATAATAAATAATAATAAAAATATTTAATAAACAGGCCAACAAAAAACAGAAACAAACAAAAATAAAAAAAATAAAAAAAACTGGGCTAGCAAGATTGCTCAGTGAGTAAAGGAATTTGCTGACAACCTGAGTTCAATTCCCAGGAACCCACATGATAGAAAGAGAAAACTAACTCTTGCAAGGTGTTCTCTGACCTCCATTCATGCACAAATGCACACGTGTACTTGTACAGTCCTGAACACACACATACATGGACATACACACTAAGCAAATAAATTTTTAAAAAAAGGGAACAGCAAACAAATTCGGGTTTTTAGTTGTACTAGCCACACTTGCAGTGCACATAGAGCTGACTGAGCACGGCAGCCTGTGATCCCAGCAATCAGGGAGAGGAGGCAGGAAGATCGTGAGTCCAAGGCCAGCCTGGGCTATATAGTTAGGAAATAAAAGTGATGAATAGTTTCTGGCATTGCACAGCACAGGTACAGAATAGTCCCACTGCTACAGAAACTTCTTTTGAGGTATTATTCCAAATAAAGAGACTAGGAGAGGGGAAGAGAAAGGGGGCAGCTGGAGAGGTGATGGGAGGGAAGAGACGACAGAAGACACGAGATACAAGAGGACAGGGAGCAGAGGCATCATATCTAGATGGAGTTTGAGGCCAGACAACATTTAAAGGTAGAGAAACAGGCAAGAGAAACCGACATAGCAGCTATGGGGTAGGAGTAAGACTGGCAATCGATGAAGTACCAGGGCTGGGTCCTTAGAGTGTAGAGAGTGCTTGCCTAGCATGGGCGAAGATCTGATTTCTATACCCCGCATTCAAAACAGTCAAATATTGAAAAGAAAAAAAACGAATTATCCACTTGGACCCTCATTTCTTCCCTCAACCAGGTTCCCAGAGCTACTCTACTCTGTGCCCTATGCTAGGGTCCTGCTGGGGTCACAGGACCTAGATGGACAGTCCCTGCCCTCCAGGGGGTCTCTGTTGCCTAAAGAAAGGGTGTGTTCTAGTACAACAAACCTAGATCTAGATCTGGTATACGTGGCCCTCCCTTATTGATGAAGAAACAAGGCTTTGCGATGGGTGTGCCCAAGTCAAGGAACTAAAAAGGGCGGATTCAGAATTCCAAGCCCAGTTCCCTGAGTCCCAGGCCAGTGCTCCTATCTTATCACAGACTGTTTGAAGACTAAGGAGACTCAGCAGGTAAGAATGCTTGCTGTATAAGCCTGAGGAACTGAGTTTGAATCTCCAACACACACAGTGACTTGCTAACACCAACATAAAAAGATGTGCGTGTTCCTGTGCAGGCTTGTAGCCCCAGTGCTATCAGGAGTGGAGACAAGAAGATCATGGAGGCTTGCGGGCTGACAGCCTACCTGCAGTCCTGGTGAGAGACCCTGTCTCAAGGTAGTAAGGCAGAGTGACAGAGCAGAATGATGGACATCCTCCTCTGGCCTCCACTTGGGCATGCGACACTCACCTACATATACATATACATATACCACACACACAGAAACACCACACACACGTACACACATACACAAACACACAAATTTTAACTGACTCAAATAATTTGCTCATTATAAAAAGGAGGGGTGGAGCTGGAGAGATGGCTCAGTGATTAAAAGCACTGACTGTTCTTACAGAGGACCCAGGTTTGAATCCCAACACCCACATGGCGGCTAACAACTGTCCATAACTCCAGTTCCAGAGGAGCTGACGCCCTCCTCTGACCTCCGAGGGCATTGCATGACACAGCTGCACTCTTATACATGTAGACAGTACACTCATACACATAAAAAAATAAAAATAATAATTTTTTTAAAGAGGGGACGGGAGACCAATGAGATGGCTCAGTGGGTGAGGGAACTTGCCACCAAGACTGACAACTTGAGTTCAATTCCCGGGACCCACAGAGTAGAGAGAACCAACTCTCTCCAATCAGTTGTCCTCTGATCTCCACACATATACTGTAGCACACACACATATACACACATACACACGCACACACACACACGCACACAGACAAATAAGTAAATGTAAAATTTTTTTAAATGTCTGCAGTAACCCAAACATTCTAGGGCAGCAAAGTGTCACCCTACCCCTGATGATTGGCTATACCAGTTGCTATACCCATTCCTGAGAAAACTGATGTCACTGGGAAAGTCCCCAGCTTCCTCCAGCCAGAACTCCAGGACAAAATGTGACATTAAGTATGCCTGGGCCTCTGTCCTTACCCATGACACAGAGTCCCAATCCTCTCCCCATCCCCCAACCTGTGCCTTTCCAAGCCTCCAGCAAGGCTCTCTGGTCCAGCCTCCCTTCTCCCCCAGCCCTGTGCTTACTCATGCTTGAGACATCCTCTCTGAGATCCTGTGGGTCCACCTCCAAGGATGCTGACTGCAAGGCACAGAGATATAGGTCCAGGCTCTGGGGGCAGGCCAGCAGGGCAGATCTGGCTGTTGCTAAGGACAAGGGGTACATCCAGCTGGACAAGGACAAGCCACGAGCAGCCATTGTGTCTGGAAATGGCCTGCAGGCTGAGAATACCTGGAAAGGACGAAGAACAGGGCAGGGGGAGTCTGAGACTTGGGGGGGCCCTCGGATGGGCCCGTCTCTACTTTGGTTTCTAAAGGGGAGAAACTAAGCCATGGATGGCCACTCCACATCTGTCATTTAAATGGCTGTCCTTCCCTCCTCTAAAAGTTTCTTTCCCCAAGAGCTTTTTCTCACTGACCCCAATTGTTCTCTTTTCCCCATAGAACCTGTCCTGTTCTCTGTCTGAATCCCTCTTCCTGACCAACCTGATCTCCATCAACTGTGTTGTTTTGAGTGGGACCAAGATGAACTTGGGGAAAATCCTCATCCAACCCTGCAAAGTCCACAGGATGACCCTGAGCCGCCTCCCACTACAGCCCAAGTCCATGGTCATAGCAGCAAAGCCTTCTGCACGAACTTTTCTCCATCTTCTTGCCCCTTCTGAGCCCCTGGGGTATGCAGACAGGGTCTCTGGCATCTCAAGGACATGTCACCATGATTGCCTGGGGCAGGGGCTGTTCCAGACCAGGAAAGTCGGGGTCTAGCCCATTCAGACAGTGTAGCTCTTCCTCCTAACTGGCATACATTCTCAGAGAGAAAGATGGACCCCATCCTACCTGGTTTTCTTGACAGAGCTGGAAGTCCAGGCGGGGGGACAGGAAGTCTCCTGAACCCCCCAACTTGGCCTTGGTCTCGTGGCAACAACCCAACTGGGTAGCTGATTTTCCCTTCATATTCCTCCTACTAGATGGGGAGACAGGCGAGTCAAAGTGAGATGTGAAGGTCCTCCCAGCCTGTGTTCTAGCACTGGTCCCACTAACATGCTGTGTGGCTGTGAGTCAGTCACTTTCCTTCATGGCCTCAGTTTCCACATATGAAAAATGGAGGGTTGGCCCTAGAGATGTGGCTCAGTTGATAGCATGCTTGCCCAGGATGCATGAGGCCCTGGGTTTGATCCCCAGCACCATATAAATTGGGTGTGGCAGTATACACCTGCAATCTCAGCACTTGGAGGTAGAGGAAAGAGGATCAGGACTTTAAGGTCATCCTTATCTACATAGCAAGTTCAAGTCTGTGTGAGACCCTATCTCAAAAAAGTAAATAAAGCTGGGCATGGTGGCGTATGCCTTCAATCCCAGCACTCAGGAGACAGAGGCAGGAAGATCTCTGTGAGTTCGAGGCCAGCCTGGTCTACATAGCAAGTTCCAGGCCAGCTCGGGCTACAGGGAGACCCTGTCTCAAAAAGACCAAAAACAAAACAAAAAAAAACAAAAACAAAAACAAAAAAGTAAATGAAATGGAGGGTTGTCCTGACTGATGTGTGAGGACTTTCTTAGCATTGACCTGTAGAAGCCAATGATGCTCTCCCAGTAGGTGCAGAAAGGGGAGTAAATGGAGAGGAAAGTTCTCTTGTAGGTTCTGGGGGAACATTCTAGATTTCTCCAAGCTACAGAGAACTGAGGAGCCTGCCCTTTCCATGCAGAATAGGATCCACACCAACCAGAGGTTCCCACCATCCCAGCTCACCCAGACAGCTTTTCTGGAAAGCTGAGGAAACCTCAGGGTCTCGTGATCATGAGTATCCCAGGCTCCACTCCCTCACAAGCCAGGAAGCCATAGAAGGGGAGCCGAGAGTCCCTGAGTGCCACCTGGCTGGCCTGTCAGGAAGATGCCCCAGCACTCAGCTGATTGCTCAGTCAGTGCCCCACTGCTATGGCATCCTCATCTGAGGCCACACAGTGCAAGTCACCTTAGCTGGGCAAATGCCATATGACTGGTTCTCTTTCCCCTCAGTGACCTTGAATGCTCCTCAGACCCTAAAACCCTCCATCCAGTGTCTCAGCCCTCCAACATCTTTCCCTTGTCCCTCTCTCCCAACTCTTCCCCAACCTGCCTCAGGTCTCAAATACCGTAGCCTGGAAGGCACCTGCTGTTAGGGGGCTCTTCACCTGGTTCTGCAGCAGCCCTCTTTGGCTGGGAAGGAAGGAGGGCAAGCAGGCAGGCAGCAGTGCCCGGGTCTGAGGCCCTGGGGTGTGTGAGAGCTGACAGGAAAGTGATGCTTTTGAAGTTGCCTTAAATAGGAAGAGGGGGAAAGGCAAACAGGCCCCAGAGACCTGACAGGGCGGCCTGCCCCTGGCCTATAGCAGCTCTGCAAGACAAGTGCTTAGCTGTGAGCTGTAGCCAACAAAGTGCTGGCATTGTAGAGAGAGACAGAGACAGAAAGACAGAGAGACAGAGAAAGAGACAGAAAGACAGAGTGAGACACTGAGACACAGAGAGAGAGACAAAGACAGAGAAAGAGACAGAAATAAAGAGACAGAGACAGAGAGAGACACAGAGAGGCACACAGAGACAGACAGACACAGAGACCCTGGTCTACATAGTGAGTTCCAGCCCAGCTGGGGCTACAGAGAGACCCTGTCTCAAAAAAGACCAAAACAAACAAAAAAACAAACAAACAAAAACCAAAAAGAAAACACCAACAACATCAAATGCTAGAGTTAATAGAGTTGAGTTCTTCTGGGAACAAGGACCACTTCGAGACAGAAACAGGCAGTGGTGGTATCAGGAAAGACTGGTGGTAGGACGCAGGGTCAGGAACAGGCAGAGACAAGAATAGACAATCCAGAAGGGGTTAGATAGAGAACAGAACAGGTGCTGATCTCACAGAGCAGAGGCCTGGGAGTCAGCAAAGTCTCCTCCTCCCCCTCCTCTTTCTCTTCCTCCTCCTCCTTCTTCTCCTCTTCCTCTTTCCCTAACCCCGAGGAATTCTATTTATATTGAAAGCTGAGGTCCCAAGATGGGGCACAAGTTCATTCAGGAACATGGCAAAGTGGTATCAAGTGGGACATGACTGGAAAAGGGAGACTGCACAGGTTCCGGTGGAGCAATTCCACATGAGCATGAGACACTTCTCCAAGTTCTCATCTGTGTGAGTCTGACCAAGGAGAACATGGTCTTAGCCCAGTGTGTCCAGGTCTAGCTCAAGGGATACAATCCCAACCAGCCATCAAACTCTACCTTAGCTGTGCCACCTGGGTGAGCTAGAACATGGGGGATCTCAGAGCAGCAGCCATGATCCCAGGACATGTTTGTTTCATTGATCGACTTTTACAGTACTGAGGATTGAACCCAGGGCCTTGTGTATCCTAGGCAAGTGCTCTACCACTGAGCTATAAGCTCAGCCATCATGGGGTATGTGATATGTTTCTCTGCCAGCTCAGACAGGCAGCTGGTCCTCCAGCCACCATGGTTTTCATTACTTCCTGTCGTGATTACTTTCCCACACAGCTGATCCTAATGTCTGTGAGGGTCTCAGGGAGAGGAAGCGCCATATTCTCCATTCTGTTCCCTGTCAGGTTTTCTTGGATGTGCAGCATCTGGACCTCTCCCTCTTCTGTCCTCAGGAAGAAAGAAGGTTCTCCCTCTTTAAAAGCCCAAATGGCCAGATATTTACTCCCAACCTTCCTTCTCCTGCACACGTTGCAGGCACCCAGGGTCCTTGCCATCAGGTGGATCAGAAGCCAGTGGCCCACTCCGTGACTATGCAGAGCGACATCTTCCAGAGAAGATGTTGTCTAAACAGTATCCCATGTAGCTGAGGCTAGCCTTGAATTCTTGATCCTCATGCCTCTGCTTCTCAAACATGGGCTATCAGGGGTACATGCCCTGGGCTGGGATATGAGTGTAGGCTGTGATTCTGACTGTCCCAAATCTTTGTTGATATAAAGTATGCTGTTGCTATTGTTTTGTTTTGTTCCTTTAATTTTTATTTATGTATATGAGTGTTTTGCCTGCTTGTATTTAAGTACACTACATGCATGCAGTGTCCACAGCAGGCGTTGGATTCCTTGGGCCTAGAGTTACAGTTGTTAGCCACTGTGTGCGTGCCGGGAACCAAACCCAGGTCCTCTGCTAGAGTAGCCAGTGCTCTTAACCCCTGAGACATCTCTGTGGCCCAATCTACTGTTTGAGACAGGGTTTCATGCGGCCCAGCCAACCTCAAACTCCCTCTGCAGCACAGGTTTGCCTTGAACTCTGGGACCCTCCTGCCTCTGCTTCCCAGGCGCTGGGATTACAGACGTGACTATCATACAGGACTTTGTCTGTTTGAAGTACCTTGCCTCTCTGCAAACTAAGCAAAGTCTCTACCACTGCCCCAAGTCCTCCAGCCCTTCTTTAAGTACCTCGTGAAGAAATCCCTTTTCTGTTTATGTCCTCTGAAATGGCTTCATAGCTGACAACCAAGAATCCATGTGACACATGCCGAGACTATGAGATGAAGCAACAGGGCTCAGGCTAGAATCTTCCAAGGATCAGAGTAAAGAGCTACTTTTATAAGCAGCTTGCTCTGTGCCTGTGCTGGGCCAGGACTTTCAAGCGTTTTATCTCATTTAATCTCCATAATAAACCTGTAGAGTTAGTTCTGTTATTCCCATGATCAACAGGGCTCACAGAAAGTGAGCAACTCATCCAGGGTCACACAGCAAATAGCCAAGAGCTGTCTCATGTCAAACCTGAGACTCCAGTACCTCTTAGTAATGTGAGCTCCCCCCACACTAACACACTGGAGAAGGTGGTGTACTTGGGTCCTAGTACTCATTGCCTACCACCTTCCTTCCTCCATTTGTTTGTTTGCTGACTATTTATTGTGGTACTGGGGATTAAACCTAGGGCCTTATACATATAGACAAGTGCTCTACCACTAAGCAACATCCCAAGCCCTTCCTGTCAGCGCACACCATGGCATGCAAGTAGAGGTCAGAGGACAGCTTTTGGGAGTTGGTTCTTTTTTTCCTTATGGTTCTAGGGTAAGTGATCTCTTAGGCCCTTTTCCTTCTATTAACCACACAATGATACATACTAGCGGTACAAACAGGAAATCTAAGAGCAAAGTGTGGTCAATCCCCTCCTCATACTTCCCAGCGACCACTAAACTGCTTGGTGGCTGTCTCTCACCCTATTTGTTTGTTTTTTGTTTTGTTTGAGATACAGTCTCACTCTGTAGCCCTGGCAATTACTGAGTAGACCAGGCTGGCCTTGAACTCAGAGATCTGCCTGCCTCTATCTGCAGAGTGCTGGGATTAAAGATGAGCACCATCACGCCTGGCCTGACTTTTTGTTTTTTTTAAAGTTTACTTTGTAACAAAACTTTTATGAACGTTTTTAAAAGAGGCTCAACTCTTAATGAAAGTTATGATTTCTAAACTTAAATTGAGGCAAATGAACCAGTAAACAGTTAAATGGGTGTTAAGTTTTGCTCTTATGGAAGCATGCCATTATGGAATGCATGTGCTCTGCTGTTTTTCTCTACCCAACACTGTTACCATGCCTACACATGTCTGTCTCCTTTTTCCTGACTATATAGTATTCCATTGTGGGGGTCTGCTTCCTATTGGCCTTCCTGTCTTGGTGGACAGGGAGATAGACACAAAGCTGGAAAACACCTCCTACAGAGTAGGTGTGTTGAGTGGTTAATCTAGGCCTGCTAGGTTCTGTCCAGCTGGGTGACTTCATGGCAGGTTTCTTAATCTCTCTTGTTTCTTTATCTGTCAATCTTTGCCTCATAGAGTTTTGTCTAGGATTCCTCAAGATAATTCATGTAAAGCCCTCTAGGGTAGGGCCTGGCCCACGAAAACACTTGAAACCTATAACAGTATAGTACATCACCCTTCACCTGGTTAGTCAGGGAGCTTCCTAAGAGGGTCAAAATGGGTAGGACAGCACTTGGAGAGACTGTGTTCTATTTTATTGCTTTGCTCATTAACCATTTTCTGACTGGGGCCACTGTCCTCACGCAAAGCAGTCTTCCCTCACCCAGTCCACATACCACCAGCACCACAACTCAAGGTATTGAGGCATTGCAGCCTTTGCCATATGCCAGCAATGAGGAAAAACATTTCCACAATGTGTCACCTCACCCTGTCAGCATTGTGACCCTGCAGAATGAGATGCCATTATTTCCATTTTACAGGGGAGAAAACTCAGTAAAAGAACCTGATTCACTCAAGACCCAGAAGTTGAAGACAACAGAGCGCAGGAAGGAGGTTTTGCAGGTGTGGTGCTGAGGAGGTGGGCAGAAGGGGACAGAGTTGCACTTATGAAGAATGATAAACCTAGAGACTGAATGCACAGCATGAACATGGGGCTGAGAATGTTGAAGAGAGGCTGGAGGGATGACTCAGTGGTAAAGAGCACTTATTAATCTTGCAGAGAACCCAGGTTTGGTTCCCAGCACCCCATCAGGCAGCTCATAACTTGCCTGTAACTCCACTTCCAGGGGAACTGATGCCTGCTAGCCTCTGAGGGCACCTGCAGGCATGTGGTACACATGAACTCACATAGGTATACACACACACACACACACACACACACACACACAGAAGAGGGAGAATGGATCCCCGAGAATTACCACAGAGTCCAGAGAACGTGCAAGAACAGAGTCTTTATTCGGGCTTAAGCTCAGACTCTCAGACCAAACTAACGTGGTAGGTCTGAGAGGCTCTGGAGACTGAGGCAGGAGGATCACAAGTTCTAGATCAGCTTGGGAAGTCTGAATGAAAAGAAAAAGGAAGAAAACAAAAGGAGGGGAAAGAAGGAGGGAGGGAGGGAGGGAGGGAGGGAGGGTTTCATTCTAGTATCAGGAGTGAGTAGTAGCTGTGTAGCACAGGGTATGCTTAGTCCTAGGGTTAGTCTGTAAAACTGGTGTGTTAGAGTCTGTTACTATGATAAAATTCTCAAGGGAAACAATTTAAAAGGAGGATAGGTTTATTTTGACTCATAGTTCTAGGGGTTTCAGCCAGTGGTCAGCCGGTCCCATGGCTTTCAAGCCTATGCTGAGGCAGAACATCCTGGTAGAGCTACTTACCTTCTAGCAGCCAGGGAAGCAGAAACGGAGAGAGAAAAAGGACTCAGGACAAGATATACTCTTCTAAGGCATGCCCCCAGTGATCTAGTTCTCCACTGAGAACCCAACCTCCTAGCTTCCACTATATCCCCATAATGCCATTAAATTACACATCCATCTGCATTCAGGTGCCCTTGGAGGCCAGAAGAGGGCATTGGATCCCTCAGAGTTGAAATTACATGTGGTTGTGAGCTATATG